TAAAATTTCCTATAGGATGAAACAAATAAAAAATAATGAACTAAAATTTAGAAAGAATAATGTTTTTGCAAGACCAAATATAAAATAAATGGGCCATAATGCTTCTAGAATTGTGTTTTTACATGACTAATTTGTAACTTTATTTTATTGAATGTCTAACAATTAATATATAATTGTTGTTATATGTAGTAGTCTCTTAAATTCTGGTATTGTGATTTATACAATTCTACCCCCATTGTACCACATTTTAGAGCATTTGATGTACCATGTTTTTGTTCCCGTTCCTTGTACTTGAATGATCTGCGTTCCAAGTAACATAGGGTTAGATTATTTTGGAGGGAATAGGATCGACATTGTTCTGCTATTTCTCCTGTTTTTGAAAGGATATGTTGTGATTAATTGAAAAATATGTGAAAGATATAAAAATACTTTGTAATTCTATTTTTCTATAAATTAATTTCCAATTTAAGGTGTTTGATTGTTTAGTTAATAACTTTCGTCAGGAATATTCTTGGTACAATTCTTGGTCAAACCTTGAATTTTTCACCTTCTTGGAAGGGAGAAAAGAAACTTCTATAATAAAATAGAAAATCTAGCGATTTAAATAGTTGGGGGAGCGCATGTAAAATTTGAATGGTACCCATTTGAAATGTAGCTTGTAAAATACTCTCAGCCATGGCATTTTTCATTTAAAAGTGAATGGACCTGATGGAGTCTCCTGTTGCTCAGCCATCGGCATTTTTTATTTACCATGTGTAATCAAGGGCGGTGGACCTACATGGTTGGGAGTGTTGAATTGGACCCAGTCAACCCTTTAGAATGGTAATAATAATAATAGTAAAACAAAACTGATCGGTCAATGTGAAGAGGGAAAAGAAAGTTACTTGAGACTCGGGCCAAGTTTGGGATGTTCCAAAAAAGTCAAAAAGTCAAAAAGTTACTCAAAAAGTTAAAAAGTTAACACTATTCACCAAAAGTCAACAATTACGGCTGCACAACTCCCAATTCAAATTTTTCTCTACAAATCAATTTTTACAATTTTTTATTACACATTTTTCAATAAAAAGTCAAAAAGTTAACCCAAACATCCATATTTTCAACCTCAATTTTTTAGTCCAAAAAGACAAAAAGTGCACTTTTTTAGTCTTCCCAAACTTGGCCTAAATAGCCTCGGGTATTTCTGTCTAAGGCAAAATATACCCAGCCAAGCATCCTCCCAAAACAAAATCCTACTCTCATTTCCAATTTTAATCTCAATATTTTCCATAAAAAATTAAGAACCCTGGGATTTGCTTGTGCTACTGATAATACATCACTCTCTATCCTTGAGCTAGAGCTATCAACCATATGGAATGGAAACCATCTCCCACCAATAGATCCATACCTGCTGCAAATCAGTTCTTTCCAAATTGCATAATCTTCAGACCCAAACCTCCACTACCACTTGGCAAGTAGGATTTCAACAAATTATTCAACAGTTGCAGGATGTAATGCCTCAAATGAGACGAGAAATTTGTAGGTTAAATGTATGTGGGACCGTGTCATAATCAAATGCGATTCAAAAGTAATTGAGAGTGAAATGTCTTAATAGATTGACATAAATGATTATAAAGTAAACAAAGAAAACAAACATTACCATCGATGAATACTAATGACTATGGATATATATGATAAATCATATCAGCCATCACAGCTTGCTAAGCCATCTGAGCCACTTGAGTCTTCATCTGTCAAGTCTACACATGAGCTGCTACATCCTTCTCAGCAACAGTTACAACTGCAGCCCATACACGTGCAAGATTAGCTATAGATAGTTTGTTAGTTTGTTATTACTTAACTACATTTTAGTTCAGCAGTTAGTTGTTAGTTATGGTTAGGTTAGCTAATCTGATTCTTGTATAAATAGATATTGAACTCTGTTGAATAATCAATCAATTCAATTGAATCTAAATCTTCTTTATGGTATCAGAGCCTTTGCTTTCTCGAGTCTCGATCTACAGCAAGTAGTTTCAATGGCTACTGCAGATTCAACCACCATAGCTACAACAGGTTCTTCTTCACAATCCTCTGTTCTATCTCTAAATCTCACATTACTGATTTCAAATCTTAATGCCTTTGTTTCCACAAAACCTCCACGTCCATCACGATTCTCCTTATTTATGTGGACGATATTCTTCTCACAGGAAGTGATACTATGTATATTCAAACTCTTATTCAAGCAATGCATTCTGCTTTTTCTATGAAAGAACTTGGCTGCATTAACTATTTTCTTGGCATTTCAGTTGTCTCCACTTCCACTGGCTATGTTCTTTCTCAGCATAAATATGCTTCAGACATTTTAGTTAAAGCTGGTATGAGCTCTTGGAAGCCATACTCTTCTCCTATGGCTACTAAGCATTCTTCTTCTTCTTCCTCCACTGATGATCTACCATTTTATCAGCCATCACTTTATCGGAGTTTGGTTGGTGCACTTCAGTATATGACTATTACTAGGCCTGATCTGGTTTTTTGCAGTAAATCATGCTTGTCAGTTTATGCAAACTCCTTCTAATGCTCATTTTGCTGCTGTCAAGAGGTTACTCTGTTATCTTAAGGGTGCTTTGGATTATGGCCTTCATTTTTCCAATGGTCCTCTTATCCTTAATGCTTTCTCTAATTCTGATTGGGTTGGCAATCTAGTTGATCGTCGATCCATCACTGTCTACTGTGTTTATCTTGGTCCCAACTTGATTGCTTGGACTGCTAAGAAGCAGCCAACCGTATCAAAATCTTCCTTTGAAGCCGAATACAGAGCATTGGCCCAGACTTCTTCTGAGCTTAGCTGGCTTGGTATGCTCTTAGCAGAGCTTCATATTGTTGGATATACCTCCTTATTGGAGTGTGGGACCCAATTGGTTTATTAAAGAATTTTAACTTGGCTTGGTTTAGGTATAATATATTTTTATATATTATATTTATGGAGACCCAATTCAATTTGGAAACAACTAAGGTTTGATAAAAAACCCTAGATTCACAATACATATTTTTTGGTATTGGTTTTCACCAAAAAGAAGTACTGCGGCAGCCACACAGATTCCAGAGCCAACATTGATTGTTGGGGCTTAAGTTCAATTGATGTTCCATTGTTGCTGTGCATCATTGGTTAGTGGGTGAAATTGATTTGGGTTGTTATTTCGGATCTTCTTTGACTCTAATTCTGAGGATTTTGATTCATCTATTTGGTGAGGTTTTTCCTCTTGTTTATTTGTGATTATTTGGAATTCACCTAAGGGTGGTTTTGTGAGACCATTAGTGTCTCGTTTGTAATCGTTTGGAACTTATTTGGTTGATAGTGGAATCGGATTTCGATCCCGTGGACGTACCTCACATTGAGGGAACCACGTAAAAATTCTTGTGTTGCCTTTGATTTAATTTTTCCGCATTAGTTTTTATTCCCATTGATTGATTTACTTGTGGGGAATCACATCGATTTTCCCTAACACTCTGAGTTTTTAATGTTATCAATTTAAACCTTAATCTTTTGATTTGTTTTCAATCTAAATGATTTGTCTACTTTTGTTAACTAAAATTGACCCCCCCTAAAAAAAAGAAAAAAGAAAAATAGTATTTCAGTTATTAAACTCAATATATATACATAAAATGTCCAAAATACGCATTTTCATTGAGTGTAATGACTAACATAGCCATTTTTTTATCAATTTTACTTAACAAAAATAAGCAAATCATTCAAAATGAAAACAAATCAAAAATTCAGGTTTTAAATTGACAAATTAAAACTCATGGTTTCTATTGTTACAAAGTTTAATTTTTTTTTGTTGTTGTTGTGTGTGTGTAATTTCCCCAAATTTTTCCATCCAAAATACAATTTAGTATTTTTAAATAAGAGGACTTACGTGTAAATCCTAATATGTAGACTTCTTGCCCAACATGTCCTGTGAGAATTAATGCATTTTTTTAACAATTACTATTAAAAAATGTTACTAATTGTTAATTTTTAGCGATAGTTTGAAAATTTTGTCATAAAAAATGTCATAATTATAAGTTATAACGGTTTAAAAAATCAGCACAAAAAAGTCACTAATTTTCAACTTTTAGTGACAGTTTGAAAAATTCATCACAAAAAAATGTCACTAATTGCAAGTTTTAACGACAATTTATAAAAATCGTAACAAAAAAAAAGATCAGTAATAGTTAATTTTTAGCGACATGCAAATAATCGTCACAAAAAATTATTTTTAGCGACGATTTTACTAGGACTTGATGGAAATTAAGTAAAACTATTATGACCGATTGGTAGTTTACCCTTCAAATAATTTGGTCAAAGTTCGCAAAATTACAGGCTAATTCATATTAGTTCAGCTAAATTTTTAGTCAAAAGAAATAGGGCAAATTATACCTATAGTCTCTACACTTGGCTCTCATGTCAATTTGGTTTCTATAATATTAATTTTGCCCTTTAATTTTTCAAATTGTGTCAACCTAGTCCAAATGATAATAGGCGTTAAAAATTTGAATAAAAATCAAAGGCAAAATGATCTATTAAAAAGGGGAATGAATCATTTCAAATTGAATGCGAATCCTTCAATAACTTTGAAGGGAATTAAAAAACCATTTTGTTCCTTAATTTTAGTCCAATTTCTAATGAAATATTATCAATTAGACTAAATTGATAGATGTGCAAAATTGAAAGGTAATTGATGCAATTAAAATTACAAGAACCAAATTGATATAAAACAAACTACAAGAATTAAATGTAATTTGTCTAAAGAAATACAACACATAAAAACGGAAATTTATTCCTAAATACTAATTAATTTCAAGTGTAGTTTGACATTCTTATTTTTGCATCCAACAGCATATTCAATCCAAAATATGTTGTGTTCTCATTATAGCCCAAAAGGTCAAATGAAAATAGCAAAATAATAAATAAAAATTGTAGACGCCCCACAGCAATGAAGCTTAAATAAATAAATAAATAAGCTCAAGTCAAAGAAGCATACCTCATTGAAGAGAGGTTGAATAGTATGGTAACTGCTATCCGAAGTATTGCAAAAACTATTGAGCTTTGGTATCCCCCAGAGTTTCAGCTTGTTCAATTGCAGCAGCTCAATTCCATTCATAGCCTTGCACAGAGCAGTAAAACTTGGCAGGCATGCAAGATACAATTCCTTTAGTTTAGGGAACACAATTTTATCTGTTGTTTCTGTTGTTGTTGATGCTATCTCATTTTGATCTCCTTCTTCTTCACTCGAAATAAGTACTTCCATCTTACGACAATTAGATACATAAAGTTTCTGTAGTGGCATCAGATCTCTAGCTATGGATAATGAGAACAAGCTTTCCAGTTCATCACAATTAGTCAATATTAGAGAAGTGAGGTTGCGGAGCCGTACAAGTTGCGTAGGACCCTTCCACAAATGTGTCACTGCAGGCAAGTCCCGTAGTTCTAGACTTTTCAACGCACTGAAGGCCACCTATAACGCCCCAGTTTTCATAAAATCCGACGAAACAAATCAAACTCGTATTCGTTATCTATTTTCAAATCAAATTAAATTAACATGCAGAAGTCAATAATCTTATCAAGATTCAACAATAATCATAAACAAAATAATTCTCTTTTCCTGTTATACTTCATTTCATTATAGTTTGAGATTTATCAAAGAGATTACGTACGATTACACACACAATTTCCAAAGCATGGATCTATAACATGTGATACAATACTACATAAATATTCAAAACTTAAATGCCGTAATGGATTACAAGTTACAATGGTTAGAACCCTATTACAAAAAGAATGGGTCTCCACCCAAACATATAAACCAATGCTTTATGAAAATAAGCAAACAAAATAAAGGAGTATTCGTGCTCCAAAAATCACATCACAAGCCTTCAATGAGGCGGAGGCAAATCACCAACACCTAAAAATGATTTACCATGAAGGGATGAACACTAATGCCCAGTAGATATAATTTTAACAATGTATATGAGATTAACATGATTATGATCATGAATGCAATGATGTGCTATGCTTAAAATATGAGTTTTTTTTTTTCCCAATAGGATGCTCATTGCACAACTTTCAAAACAATATTCATTTCAAAACATCAGGGCAATAAATAAGACATTAGTTGTGTCTGCAAATAGGTTCTCAAGCACTACCAAATATCACTTTAGCAGCTACTAAATGGAAAGAAATTGATACCTACTCCGCTCATGTTTTAGGACTTTCACCATGACTCTCAAACCAACTAAATTCTCAAATCCACAATTACATCCTCTATCCAGATTTACCACGTTATCAACATTACCAACATTTCCAAAATAATAGCACAATCTCAATGTAAGGCCATGGGAGTGCAATGGATGCATGAAACAGTAATCTGCAACAAAATATTCCAATAAAAAATATATTTAGAGCATAACTCAACATTCTCAATAATTCCAAAATAGTATGAGATTTCTAATAAATTCATCAATTCTCAACATATATCCCATATTTCATAATTTCTATTATTCCAATAAATCCAACAAATTCTAGATAACTAATATCTCCAAGGAAATTAACAATCTCCATAATAAATCACCAATTTTCACATTATTCCAACAATTTAATCCTATTCAAAATCACATTTTTCATTTTGTCAAATTTTCTAGGGTTTGAAAAAAATTTAGAGTGTTCTCAATTAAAATATAACCAAGGTTTTAAATAACGGTCGCGGCTACTAAAATGGTAGTGGTAATGTAGACGTGGTTGCTGGGTGTAACTGCTGTAGCATAACGATGGCTGCAACCGGAGCCGTTAAATCTTTAATTCTTCGCACAACTTTAAGAAAGCATACTGATATGCAAGTTTTTATTTCAGAATCACATTTAGTGAGGCTCAAAATGATTTTTAGTATTTTTTATTTTATTTTAGAACATGATCCAATATACAAACTAATTTTTATATTAGTTTTAAGTTGCTATGAAAAATTTTACTATTGTTGAATTTATTTAATTTTCTTTACTTTACTAATTATAATCTTGGATAACTTTTCCGATTTGTTAAAAAAAATAAATATTAAAAACAATAGTCTCATAAATAGAAATTCAAAATACAAAATGTCAAATATAATAATGTAGAAGTACATAACATGAAATCTAAATTTTGTTCAATAAATTTAACATAAGAGAAATAAAAGTTCATATTCAAATATAATTAAGTAAAAAGTAATGAAATCTTGTAGAACTTGAAGATTGGACATTCAAAACATATATAGATCAGATTTTAACTTAAGGTTTATGTAACTAGAAAATAAAAAGAGAAAATAGTAATGTATACAAAATTTATATAAATATACATATATATAGATGTGTAACGGTCGTAACAGCTGTAACGGTGTTGTAGCGGCAATGTAACGGCCGCTACAACCTTTACGTAACGGTGGTGGCCATTGTGATCATGAATTTGTGTCACACCGCAATAGCGGCAATGTAACTTGAAGATTGGACATTCAAAACATATATAGATCAGATTTTAACTTAAGGTTTATGTAACTAGAAAATAAAAAGAGAAAATAGTAATGTATACAAAATTTATATAAATATACATATATATAGATGTGTAACGGTCGTAACAGCTGTAACTATAGCGATCCCGGGTTTACCCTGATCATGAATTTGTGTCACACCGCAATAGCGGCAATGTAACTTGAAGATTGGACATTCAAAACATATATAGATCAGATTTTAACTTAAGGTTTATGTAACTAGAAAATAAAAAGAGAAAATAGTAATGTATACAAAATTTATATAAATATACATATATATAGATGTGTAACGGTCGTAACAGCTGTAACGGCAAGGTAACGGCTGCTACAACCTTTACGTAACGGTGGTGGCCGTTGTGATCATGAATTTGTGTCACACCGCAATAGCAGCCGTTTTATGCCCTGAATGTTTATTACTCGGATAATCTTACCAATATTCATTAATTAAGTCCATTTACAAATAACATTTCATCCTTGGATGAAATGATGAATAATTAAATATACATATTCTCTCTCGTTATACAACAATGACATCTACATACAAATAAAAAAAAAAATGCCCTGAGGCTTATAATAAAAGAGAGGACACTACTCTTTACAAAAAGATAACACTTAGCCAAATAACAAATGAAGTAGTACAATCCATCACTACATTACACTTATGAAATGGTAAAACCCATTGTTTGATCTTCAAATTCGAAAAGCATTCCTTGTACACATGTACAAGTAGGGGGTGAGCAAAACTCACCGAGCAATCTCATATTAAAACATTAAAAGATATGCGAGTACAAAGATACTCATACATATTCGTGAAATCATATCATGTCAAAATCATAAGGTTTTATCACATAATCTTTTAATCCAATTTATTTAATTAACCACAACCAATTAACTTAAATAAATAAACATGCTTCAATAGTAACATGACATCATTTTTAATCCATTCAATTATCTTATTATCAATTGAATCAAATAATTAAACAATTCATCAAATCCATTTTATACAGTCTTATGAGATGAATGCATATGCCATGCTATGTCCTTTTTGAAGATAAATCACATTTTCATCCTTTGAAAACTATCATGCTCAATGATGTCATGCAATTTCAATTGTTCAAAACTTAACAATTTATTTCAAGGGTAGTAAATACGTCTCTGGTAATCCCTAGGCTGGTGTCTGCAAGTAGACTATACGAGTACTACCAAATTGTCATTTTTATAGGTATTTACCGGAAGGCTGGACACTTGTCCACGCGGATTTTTTGGTCTTTCACTCCGGACCCATAGGCCAACTTATTCAATATCATTTTTACCACATATCAAGACTTACCAACATATTTACCCCAAAATCTGTAACGCCCTCAAAATAATAACATTAAACCCATCAATATAAACATACATTTATATACAAAAGATCTATATTTCCTCAATTCATCAGAGTACCTCATTACAAAAGTATTACATGTCAACAACAAAAGTAAATGCCCTACGGGCTTACAGCTTTCCAAGTTAACACTTGGTTACAAAAGAGAGTATTGACTCGGTTACACATTAAGCCCTTGGCATTGAATTTTCATGTAATACATCAATAGGAGATAGGAGAACAAAAGTCTGTTCGCCTCTAGCCTCCCAAGCTATGTTCTTGGAAGTGGCAAGTTACCTGTACCTGAAATGATGTTCCCATATAGGGTGAGCCACAGCCCAGCAGAGATATACTAAACCAACTATAAACAATGCCTAAAAGATTAGCAACTGAAAGATGGTCGATACTTACATCTCTATTTACATCTTATTTCAATTCCATGACAACCAAGTCTATGTTACAATTCACTTTTCATTTCTTATTCAACTTTGAGTTTGAAAACAAGGCTCAGTACTCTGGCCAAAACATTTGATGAGGTTATAGTTCATCACTAGAACACTTTCGAAATTCACGGTGATGATATACATTTTAGCGCTATATCAAATCAAACAAACTTTTCAATAGATAAGCATGTGAGCTACATCACTACTACAACAGATAAGCATATGAGCTATATCAACATTTCAATAGATAAGCATATGAACTATATCAATACCACAACAGATAAGCATATGAGCTATATCAACATTCCAATAGATAAGCATATGAGCCATATCATACCATAATAGATAAGCATATGAGCTATATCAACATTCCAATAGATAAGCATATGAGCCATATCATACCATAATAGATAAGCATATGAGCTATATCAACATTCCAATAGATAAGCATATGAGCCATATCATACCATAATAGATAAGCATATGAGCTATATCAACATTCCAATAGATAAGCATATGAGCTATATCAACACCACAACAGACAAGCATGTTACACATCAACAAATAAGCATATTAGCTGTATCCACACTTCACTATATCAACATTCCAATAGATAAGCATATCACACATCAACAGACAAGCATATTAGCTGTATCTACACTTCACTAGACAAGCATAAGAGCTGTATCTACACTTCACTAGACAAGCATATGAGCTGTATCTACAGAGTTCATCCCCCATCTCCTCCCAATCCTATCTGGTTTAGAGGTACATCCCCCATCTTCCCCTAAACCGTGGAGTACATCCCCCATCTCCTCCTCTACACAAGCAATGCATATAAACACAAAGGTTCTATACACAATA